ACAGTGCGGAATTTCCTGTTCCCAGCTATATAAATGGAGGAGTTATAACGAAAAATTTTATATCTGAACAATCAGTTGTATGGGAGCTATAGGTTATAGTGACCCTATCTTTGTAATTTTCACTGTAAGTATTCTGTTGATAATGGGTGCAAGTGCTGCAAAATTGCATGTTCACTGTAAGTATTCTGTTAATAATGGGTGCAAGTGCTGCAAAATTTCATGTTCGTAGCTGCATAAATGGAGAAGTTATAACGAAAAATCTCATATCTGAACAATCAGTTGTATGGGAGCTATATGTTATAGTGGTCCGATTCTTTCGGTTTCGACAAATGATTAATAGATTATAAAAATACACCCACCTACCAAATTTGATCCGGATATCTCGAAAACTGAGAGACTAGATTGCATACAAACAGACGGACAGACAGACAGACGGACAGACGGACATGGATAAATCAACTCAGCTCGACGTTCTGATCATATAAGTATACATTTTAATGGGTCTATCTCTTTTTGTTCTGGTACTTACAAACATCGGACCAAAGTTATAATACCATTTCATGCTCATGAAAGGTATAAAAATTGGAGTCCTTTTCCAACGCCCAATACAAATTTTATATCATTGGAAAGTTTAGAAAATAAGCTATCGAAATAAAGCATTTGCGAAAAAAAAAACAAAAATGGTACATTGTTTAAAAAATCCAAAAAAAAAATTATTGCAAATTGCGAAAAATTAGAGTTTCCACCAAAAGCACGGAAAAAGTTCTAATAGGTCAGCAATTTTTGATTCTCTATCATAAGTGTGACATGAGATAAGAATTTTAAGAAAACTTGTGTCTCGTAAGAAAATGGGCTGAAATTTGCATGTTTAAACTCGTATTTACGATTCGACAAAAAACCGCGGCAGCAAAAAATTCTTTATACATTGGTTACCAGTAGCCATAGCAACAACATGGTGGAGCTTGAACAAAATGCTGCAATAAAATGTTTTTCCTGGTACACTTGACGCCGTTTGTATTGATCGGACTTAATTAAAATCCTGTGTAGTAGATTCTGGAAAAAATGTGGTAGATTTAGAAAAAATGTGGTAGATCTCAGGTTCAGGTCAAACTTTTTGCAAAAATTAAAAAAAAATCGGCAAGGTTTCACCTTAACTGAGAACTTTTTAATTTGAATCTCTAGGAAATATTTTTAACTTGGGTTTTGCCAATTTTGAAAATCCTCAAGTAAAAGTAAACAACAACAAAGTCTAAGCGGTAGAAGTTATAGCAAGTATTTCGGAGATCACCACATCTGCTCATCAGACTTCTTTTTATACCCGAGCGCACTTGTGCACAAGGGTATATTAATTTTGTTCACATAACGGTTGTTTGTAACAGCCAAAACGAATCGAGATAGATATAGACAAATGTATACATAAATGATCAGGATGAAAAAAGAAATCGATTAAGCCATGTCTGTCTGTCCGTCCGTCTGTCCGTCTGCCGTGTACACGATAACTCGAGCAAAAATTGAGATATCTCAACGAAATTTGGAATGTAGGTTTCCCTTAATCCAAGGTAGGTTGGTATTGAAAATGGGCGAAATCGGACTTTAACCACGCCCACTTCCCATATAACGGTAATTTCCAGAAATACGAAAACTGCGATATTTTAGTAACTACTGAAGATAATTCACTCAAAATTGATATTTACAATAATTTTTAGACGAAAAATAAGAATATTATAAATTTTTGGAAAATGGGCGTAGCCACGCCCACTTATGGTTACATGTGTATATCTTGGTAACCGCTGCACCAATTTCTTCCAAACTTGGCACAGTTGTTGGCTCTCGCATAACATACCAAATGGCCGAAAATTTTTAAAATCTCTCAATAACCACGCCTACTTCCCATATAACGGTAACTTTCAGAAATACGAAATCTGCGATATTTTAGTAACTACTGGAGATTATTCACTCAAAATTGATATTTATAATAAGTTTTAGACGAAAAATAAGAATATTATAAATTTTTGGAAAATGGGCGTAGCCACGCCCACTTATGGTTACATGTGTATATCTTGGTAACCGCTGCACCAATTTCTTCCAAACTTGGCGCAGTTTTTGGCCTTGGTACAGCATAAAAAACCGCCGAAACTTTTTAAAATCGGACAATAACCACGCCCACATCCCATATAACGGTAATTTAGAGAAATACAAA